AAGAACAAAAGGACAGCCACTTGTCTGTTCCCCTTCCCCCAATTCCCCAGCACTGTTCCCATCCCCCCAATTCCCCAATAAAAATCTTTAAAAAAAATTCAGTTCTTTCAACAGTTTTCACATTAAGGATTTGTTCAAATCCATTTTGGAAGCTGGTAGCCTCCCCGCTTCCTCAGCATGATATGGACACGTGCTGTTAACGGGCAGATGAATTTTGGGAAGTAGAAACTCTGGCAGCTCACAGTTACTTGGAAAAACAGCTTTATCCATTTGAAGCACTTGCATGAAATAGATGGCAAATGTTAAAATCATTGTTTCACGTGATTGAAGATAAAGTTACTCAGTGACAAATAATTAACTTTTGATTTAAAGCTGCCATCTTCACCAAAATGACCAGTAATTACATTTCATCAGCTCTACTATCTATGAGCAGGGGACTGCATCACAACAAATGTCAGCATCACATCTGTACCAAGACAGTTGTCGATGAAGGGCATTTTTGTAATGAAACTGAGATGTCCTCCTTTGGAGACCTCCAAAGGAGGACATGCCCGTCCTCCGGCCACGTGTCAGGTTTTCATCTCTCAGGACTTTGGGGTTACCCCCTCTTCTCTGGGGGCCTAGACCATACTGTATTCTCATCTCGTGCATGCTATTTCTTAACAAAGACGGGAACAACTTCTTGGAGTTGAGGACTCATATTTTAAATATTACCACTGAATATTTCTTGACAAACGAAACACCTGACGATGTTCAAGTCTGTTCCTTTAAAGACAACTTTGAAGGTACTAAGCCTAGCGCAGGACTCTATCTGTTAAGATAAAAAGAGAGAGTGGATAAAGTGGGTGCCGCCCTCTTTTCTGGGAGGATGTGGGAATATACTAATCTTTCTTTGTATGCTTTTCAGGTTTCCTATCTACTTTTCAGGTTTCCTGTCATGCTGTGAGGATCTGGGAAACAGACTGAGTTGGTGTCTCAGAAAGCAGCCATGAGTGAGTGGCTCTTGTCATTGTTTCAGACTCTCATTTGTAAGCTGTAACCCCAGCCCAACAAAGTCGGGGTTCAGTTTGTT